ACTTTTCTTTCCACATATTAATTATTTGGATTTTTGCGTTAGGCTGATCAAGATTTTGAATGGTTGCGAATCACTCGATCACCACTGAAAATTCATATTTTCGTCACAAGATGAAAAGAAAATTTTTCTGACGACTGTGAGAGTTGCAAAATGGTGTTTTACAGACTGTGTGGTGAAAATGAAATTTTCAATTGCATTTAGAGGGGAACTGGAGGGATACCTTCACTCCAGAAACTATTTAATTATTGTCTTTGAGTATATGTTGTACATAAAACGAATAAAGAGATTTTTTTGTTCTTTTTTGACAGGACGAAGATCTTTGTGAACTTTTCTTTCCACATATTAATTATTTGGATTTTTGCGTTAGGCTGATCAAGATTTTGAATGGTTGCGAATCACTCGATCACCACTGAAAATTTATATTTTCGTCACAAGATGAAAAGAAAACTTTTCTGACGACTGTGAGTTGCAAAATGCTGTTTTACAGACTGTGTGGTGAAAATGAAATTTTCAATTGCATTTAGAGGGGAACTGGAGGGATACCTTCACTCCAGAAACTATTTAATTATTGTCTTTGAATATATGTTGTACATAAAACGAATAAAGAGATTTTTTTGTTCTTTTTTGACAGGATGAAGATCTTTGTGGACTTTTCTTTCCACATATTAATTATTTGGATTTTTGCGTTAGGCTGATCAAGATTTTGAATAGTTGCGAATCACTCGATCACCACTGAAAATTTATATTTTCGTCACAAGATGAAAAGAAAACTTTTCTGACGACTGTGAGAGTTGCAAAATGGTGTTTTACAGACTGTGTGGTGAAAATGAAATTTTCAATTGCATTTAGAGGGGAACTGGAGGGATACCTTCACTCCAGAAACTATTTAATTATTGTCTTTGAATATATGTTGTACATAAAACGAATAAAGAGATTTTTTTGTTCTTTTTTGAGAGGACGAAGATCTTTGTGAACTTTTCTTTCCACATATTAATTATTTGGATTTTTGCGTTAGGCTGATCAAGATTTTGAATGGTTGCGAATCACTCGATCACCACTGAAAATTTATATTTTCGTCACAAGATGAAAAGAAAACTTTTCTGACGACTGTGAGAGTTGCAAAATGGTGTTTTACAGACTGTGTGGTGAAAATGAAATTTTCAATTGCATTTAGAGGGGAACTGGAGGGATACCTTCACTCCAGAAACTATTTAATTATTGTCTTTGAATATATGTTGTACATAAAACGAATAAAGAGATTTTTTTGTTCTTTTTTGACAGGATGAAGATCTTTGTGGACTTTTCTTTCCACATATTAATTATTTGGATTTTTGCGTTAGGCTGATCAAGATTTTGAATAGTTGAGAATCAGTCGATCACCCCTGAAAATTTATATTTTCATCACGCTGTGACGAAAAGTGAACTTTTCGGCACGCTTCGCGTGCCTAAAAGTCCAATTTCCGCCACATTGTGATGAAAAATATTGTTCGTAACTCGTGAAAAAATGTTTTTTAGCTCGTGGGATTATATCACTCGCCTTCAGCTCGTGATCTAAACCTCCCACTCGCCAAAAACACTTTTTCGCACTCGTTACGAAATATACTATTTCCTCACAATATGGAAAAATGCAGTTTTACAAACAGTGCCATGAAAAGTGAATTTTCAAGTGCATTTGGAGGAAAACTCGAGGGACATCTCCACTCCAGAATGTACATTTTCTTCACAAGATGGAAAAAAAAATTTTCTCACGAGTATAAAAGTTGCAAAAGTAAAAAGTGCATTTTCTACAGAAAAGTGCAATCGAAAGTGCATTATCCATTCAAAAAAATATGAGGCATAGATTCTCAAACTTGCATCAACTGTGAGAATAAATTTTCATTGAAAAAAATTTCATCTTTCAAATGTTGAGAAAAAAATGCGGAAATAGTGGGGGTAAGCACGTGGTCACGGACGCCACACAATTTTCGCCTGAGGGGAGGGGATCCGCTATGAATAGGGAAAGGCGATCCCATTGGCACCAGGCCACTCAGTATCCGACGTAGTCCGATGGTGGCCGACGCTTCTCCCGTCGCCGAACGCTTCGGTACACCCAATTCTCACAGTTGTTCCGCACTGCAGCACTTGAGAACCCATCGTCCACGTCAAAAATCATCATCCGTATCTTGATTCCAAGCCTCAACCCTTCATTATTCATTTTTCTCGATAATTTGAATTAACTAAATCCGGGATGTTGAGTCTCTGCCGGCAGGCGCTCGTCGCCAACAGTCAGAAGTGAGTAAAAAAACATCAGAAATTGATAATTAAAGCCATGAAAATAATTTCCCCTTGAAAATCTCAGATTTTTCCCTTTTTTCAAATTTTTCAATCTCATAATTTTCCCAAATTTCATCCTGAAACGGAAATTATCTTCATTATTTCTTATTTTCATATTTTCTGAGGTTTTATTCATTTGCAAAAATTCTGAGATGAGTTTTTAAATAACAAAAAAAAAGATTTTTTAATTCTGAAATTTTTTTTTTCTCAATTAAGAGTAGAAAGATTGAAATTTATCGAATGTTTTTGTCGCGTTGGAGGGACGACGCGGAAGGGAGGGGGTACGTCAGGTGGTCCTCTATCCTAAAAGGGGAGGCACTATTTGGAATTTTCCATTGGGTTCACGCGTCTGTTCAGAGTTCGTTTGCCTCTCACGCAGTCAACGCCAATTTTTTGTTATTAATTTTCTTGAGCTATTATTAAACTGACACCTCCAAATTTTTACATTTTCCAATTTTTTTTTTCGTGACACATTATTTTGTTTTTAATTGGAAGGAAAAATTTTTTAAGATAATTTTTTCATCAGCTTTTGAGATTTTTAAAAAAATATTTTTCAAGGTTTTTACGTGGAGTTGAGTCAGAAAGGTTTGGGTTGAAGTGGGAGGAGTTTACACTGTCGTTCTAAATTTTTTGGAGGGCACAGCCTTGAGAAATCGGTCGCAACCGAGTTACATCTATTCCTATCCGTTCAGGTGATTCTTATTTATTTTTGCATTATTTTTGTTTCAAATTTTTAAACTCAATGAAAAGGAAAAATTGTAATTTTTCGAATACTTTGAATTATAATTGGAATTGATTTATTTATAATTTATATTTATAAGAAACATTATAATTGGAAATGACTTATTTTCATGGTACTTGTTATGAAATTCCTTTAGAGATTCTCCTAAACTTCCTAATCACTCCCATCATCATCACGAAAAATTCCACTGCTAACATGCTAATTGCTGTCATTAGCCCTGATAACTCGGTCCAATGCTTGAAGTGATACAAATCACCTCGGAAAGATAGACCCACGGGGTGGAGTCGTTATTTATATTTAAATGTCTCGAGCATGTGCAAATAAAGCACCCGAGAAGCCAAGAAGCGAGATAAGATGCACTCATTCATCGATTTACGAGGCCTGATAGCTTATCACGTAGTAAAAGTGACCTCTCCCAAGAGGTCTTCACCGATCTCCTCACACTTCACAATCAATATCAAATAATCACACGTCAAACCCATCGCGATATCATAAAGTCGGAAAAACAACAAACAAAAATTTATGGACCAGTTATTTTGTGAATATCTTAAAATCCAAGCGAGATATCGTAATGTTTATGAGAACCTTTTCTGTAGCTCTCGTTTTTCCGCACAGAAAAGTTCTTCATAAAAAATCCTGTATCTCTCATACATCCGGAAATATTCCGCAAAAACGAACGCGTTTCACGACGCGCTTAAAAAAATGAACCAGTTGTTTCCAAATATCCCAAAATGCAAGCGAGATATCGTAATTTTTATGAGAACCTTTTCTGTAGCTCTCGTTTTTCTGCACAAAAAAGGTATTCACAAAAAATCCTGTATCTCTCCTACATCCGGAGATATCCCTAAAAAACGAACGCGCCTCATGACGCGCTTCAAAAAACCTTTCTTTCAGGCTTGGAACAAGATGTCTAGGATCCATCGTCCCCACGCCGCATCCGCCGGACATTGCGCTGGCAAACGAGCCGGTCCTCTCCTACAAGAAGAACTCGGCGGAGCGTCAGGAGCTCGAGAAAACCCTCTCGAAGCTCTCAAACTCCGTGGAAGACGTCCCCATAGTGATCGGTGACGAAGAAATCCGCACCGACCGCGTGCAGTACCAGCCGATGCCGCACAATCACTCGAAAAAAATCGCGAAGTACTACCACGCAACGCCGGACCTAATAAAACGCGCGATAACGGTCGCGACAAAAACGCAACGCGAGTGGGAGCGAGTGCCGCTTGACGCGCGGATGAAAATCTGGCTGCGAGCGGCCGAACTCATGCGCGGAAAGTACCGGCAAGAGTTGAACGCGTCAACAATGCTGGGCCAGAGTAAAACGGTCATTCAAGCGGAGATAGATTCCGCAGCGGAGTTGATCGACTTTTTTAAAATTCACTCGTACTTCGTGAAAGACGCGCTCAAGTACAAACCGATCTCGCCGGATCCCTCCGCAACGCTAAACTCGATGAGATACCGCGGAATGGACGGTTTCGTTGCCGCGGTTTCCCCCTTCAACTTCACCGCGATCGGCGGAAATCTCGCGTACACACCCGCGTTGATGGGTAACGGCGTCCTCTGGAAGCCCTCCGACACCGCGATTCTGTCCAACTGGACAATCTTCAAGATTTGCCGCGAGGCGGGAGTTCCGCCGGGCGTCGTAAACTTCGTTCCCGCGCACGGTCCGGATTTCGGTGACACTGTAACCGCGTCTCCGCACCTCGCGGGCATCAACTTCACCGGCTCCGTGCCGACATTCAACCGACTTTGGACGCAGGTTGGCAAGAACATCAGTGTCTACCGGAACTATCCCAAGTTGGTGGGGGAGTGCGGGGGGAAGAACTATCATTTTGTGCATCCGAGTGCGGACGCGCGTTCCGTCGTTACGGGAACAATCCGCAGTGCGTTTGAGTACAACGGGCAGAAGTGCTCCGCGTGCAGTAGAATGTACGTTCCGCAGTCGCTGTGGGGGGAGATCAAGAGAGGACTGATCGAGGAGCGGGACAAGCTGACGGTCGGCGATGTCCAGGACTTGAGCGTTTTCACTTCCGCGGTGATTGACGCCGCTGCGTTCAAACGCATCTCCGGATACGTCGAACACGCGAAAAATTCGCAACACCTCGAGATCATCGGGGGCGGGGGGTACGACGACTCCGTGGGGTACTTCGTCCAGCCGACGATCGTCCTGACGAAGGACCCCAAGGACCGGATCATGACGGAGGAGATCTTCGGGCCCGTGTTGACGGTTTATGTTTACGAAGATCGCCATCTCGAGGAGACGATGAAGCTCGTCGAGAGCTCCACCCCGTACGCCCTCACGGGCGCCATCTTCGCCCAGGACGAGGAGTGGGCCAGGCGGGCCCTCGAGGAGTTCAAGTACACCGCGGGGAATTTTTACGTCAATGATAAAAGCACTGGCTCCGTCGTGGGACAACAGCCGTTCGGCGGGAGTCGAATGTCGGGGACCAATGACAAGGCTGGCGGACCGCATTATGCCTTGCGGTGGGCCAGCCCGCAAAGTATTAAAGAGACTTTTGTACCGTTGAGGGAGATTGATTACTCGTATATGAGGGATTAAAATTTTTGAGGTTATGTCGAGCGATGATTTTTTATGAAATGACGATGACTGCCGCCATTTTGTCTTCAGCATTTTAATGTCGACGGGAGACATTTTAGATTTTTCTCCGTGTTATGCATTTTTAGATTTGTTTTCGGTGAAAGGACGAGGTGATCATTTTTAATGGAAGAAAAATTGTGCATTTTTCTTATTTTTGAGGACAAATATTCTTTTTTAATTAAAACAGAGAGCTCTGGGGAGTAAAAAACGGCTGAAATGTGGGCAAAAATTTGTCTCAGTAATTCTCTCTTTTTAAACGAGGGAGGAAAATAATTTAAGATTGCTCGTGTGAAATGTAAAATTATGTACAAATCAACAATAATGATACAAATGGAATAATCATTATATTTTGATGACAAACAATTATGAATGATGGATCTGTTGATCGAAACATGAGAATCTCAGGTTTTTCGTAATATCTATGTTAATTTATTTCGATTGTATTGTCGTGATTAAATACATCAACTATTATTGTCATAAATTATTAGTTCTTTATTGAACCCCAAAAACGATCGAAAACTGTTTCTATTAATCAATGGCAATTTTTTACAGCGAAATAACGCCGATTGGAGGATTGGAGGTTTATTCTAGCGAATGAAATGATTCTCCAACGATATTCTGTTATTTTTTCCCATTTAATTTTGTCTACAATTCATTTAGTTTGAATTTTTTGAAAAATGTTATTTTCCACTAATTTCACAACTTTAACATTTTTTTTCTTCAAAAGTTGACGTGTGAGGGTAATTCTACAAAAACCGTTGGATTCAGCATGAAAAAATCTACAAATGGTAGGGGAGTGTGGGGCATAATGAAACAGTCAAAAAAACGACTGTTTAACGCAATTCAAGCAAACAAAAATTTTTTCATTTTTTTTGTCAACTTTTTTTATTCTTGGGAGTACGATAAGAATAATAATTTTCCATTCAGTAGAATGGAAAATTATTGAGAAGTTTTGATGGACAAAAATTTTGTCAATAGATTATTCGATTGAAATTCAGCATCACATTTTCCTTTTTCCCTCTCTGGATCTCCCCCTGGGCCATCCTCTGGGCTCTGGATTTTACGGTTTCATTTTCTTTTCAATTAATCTATTGACAAAATCTTCGCCCCTTAAAAATTCTAAATAATTTTCCATTCGGCAGAATTGAAAATTATTAATCTCATCAGTACTCCCAAGAATAAAAAAAAAGTTGATAAAAAAATATTTAATAAAAAAAATTTATTAAATGAAAAAAACAATCGTTTTTTTTGTGTCATTTTGTCCCACTCTCCCCTATTAATTTCATTTTTGGAGAAAAACTTGGCCTATTTTGTTGCACCGTGTAATAAGATATAAATGGTATAATCATTAAATTCTTATGACAAACAATTATGAATAATGAATCTGTTAATCAACACAGGTTTTTCATAATATCTTTGTTAATTTATTTCGATTGCATCGTCGTGATTAAATATATATCAACTAGATTGTCATAAGTTATCATTTCTTTATTGAACCCCAAAAACGATCCAAAATCCTTTCTATTAATTAATGAATCGAAGGTTTATCATGTCGTGATGATGAATTTTCAAGACTGCTTGTGCAGCTGGAAGAGCATGATGAGGATGGGGGTCATGAAGGGAATCCCGAAGTACAGCGAGAAGATGATATTAAACTTCGTGATGTTTCGGTCAGTGACACGGGGGAAAATCTGGTAGAAATCATTTGCAATCGTTGAATGAATGAATATCAATCATCAAGCAGTCATAAAAGGGGGGGGATACTCACCCGTGGACCTCCGACGATCTTCAGTGGCCTCTCATCACACGATCTTTTCGAATAAAATCGAAAGGAATTCCTCGAAATCAATCGCTTCAACATTTTTTCGATATTATTTCCAGTTTCGTTTTAGAAACAATTGACATTTGAACTTTATCATTTCATTTGTTCAATTCTTCTCTCGATTCATTCAAAATTTTGTTTATTTTTAGGAAAAAATCATGATGAGAAGAAAATTACAAATAGATAATTTCCTTTTAATGTCAAATTTTAAGAAACAATTTCCATTCTAAAAATTAAAATGTTGAATTTGTAATCTTGTTTTTGAGTTACCAGCCACATGAGGCGCGCGCCTGATCGATTGGCTAATTGAAAATTGATGTAGAATGATTGATATGATGATCACTATGATCATTGATATAATGATTGATATGATGATGATGATAATGATGATTGGTTTTTTTATTCACAAGATCTATGCGCGCGCGAGAGCACGCGTTGATCTACTCATTTGTTGAAACGAAGAAATGGAATTCATTAAATTTCATTTTCTCATGGATACCTTATAAGTATTGATAATGAATCAAAGAGAATTCGACTAATGATTGAAGTGAATAGCGAAGTAGAGTAAAAGAATCTATAAAGAATTTTTCATTTTCAATTAATTATCTTGAATTTTTAAAAATAATCGGTCTCCATAAAAGGACAGAATTTATTAATTTCACAATGAAAAAAAAAATTACCACCGAAGAATTTGAAATTATGTCACTGAAGAATTTGAAAATGTCGCGTGTTTTTTTTGTGAATAACTTCGTGTCACATATTGACCAATCAGAATTAAGGATTAGCGGTCAGGCAGTTTCGAGATATTTCGATATAAGACAACTTCACGTTTCTTTCGTCTTTAGTAAAATAGGATTCCTAAATGAATGAATGATATCACATTGAAGGAAATATTATTTATGATAAGTCAAAGTCAATGAAGAAAAAGTTGAAGTTTCTCGAATTTTCCAGAACACTTCAGAAAACTTGAGAACTTTCGACGGAACGGCGAAAATTTCAAGGAAATATCTCATAATAATAGAAATGAGAATAATTCGTCTAATAACTATCGTAGAGCATTCACGAGTTCTCCCCAAAGTTCTAGAAATGTCCACTATCATTGGTTAAATAAATGTTTTTAGTTTCGAAGAATATTCCCTCATTTTCTAGAAAATTCGAGAAAACTCCCGAAAGTTGTGGATATATCTAGAACTTTCTGCATTTCACTCCTTTCACCCCAGAGAATCTATACGTGCATTTTCAACTCTCTAACTTGAGCGGTTCTCGAAATCACATAAAAAATTTGGCCCCCTTTTCACCCCCTGAGGGGGTGAATTTCCAAAAACACTCCTTTAGTAGGAGCTTACGTCACTAAGGGTAGCTGTAGGCAAAAGCTCATGGGCTGTGCGTTGATACGCCAGTCGCCTCGAAAATGGCTTCTCCTTTATACTATTTCTGTTTGGAAGAGGAAATGAATAACAATGTTTTTTATACAGAAAATCATTGCATTTATTCATACTTCATTAATCAAACCTGTTAATTGTTCCCTCCATTAAGTCATTGCATATCCATTATTTTCCGTACAATAATGGTTATATACTCGAGGTTATTCCATAGATCTAACAGTAATTATAAAATATTTACAAAAGAAATTCTCAATACCTTGTTTCTTAAGTCGGCGCCTGTCAACTAATTAACATTAATTCTTATTAATTCTCATTGGAGCGGAGTGAAGAGAGAAAGCCTCCGGATTCTCTACAAAAAATGTCTTATGACTTTTTTTTCGTAGAAACGATAATTATCTAGATAATCGAGTTTGAAATTTATGAAACAAACTGACCGAATAAAAAATTTCAGAAACCTTCTCTCCTTTTCCGCGAACATCTCCAAAACCCTCAGATCTATGAAAAAATATCATAAGATCTTTTTTATAGCTCTTTAATTCTCTACAAAAAATGTTATATGACTTTTTCACGTAGAAACGATAATTACCTAGAAAATCCAGCTCGAAAGTTACAAAACAAACTGACGAAACCAGAAAAAAAATTCAAACCGCCTTTTCTTTATCTCAAATATCTAAAAAATCATCAAGTTTATCCAAAACTGTCATAAGACATTTTTTGTAGCTCATGAAATTCCCCACAAAAATCAGTCCTGACATTTTCCCCTTCCCCCTTCCCCCTTCCCTCGTCAACCATTTCCATCATCTCTTTAAACCTCATCACTGTCACAATCTTAAACTCCCCTGTACACCCCTAAAATTTACAACCAAGGATGCCAACTGGGATCCATCCTACAGAGATTGTCATGACTGTTGGCAGCAGCAACAAGTGTGCTGACCTTGCTGTCAGTTCCATCGAATGTCGCCAGGGAATTGAGCCTCTGTACAATAGCATTGACAGCCCTCGTGACCATGGTGATCAGCAGTTCTCCCTTCATATCCTGAACCTGCGTTGCATTCTCAGGGTCATCCTGCTTTTTATTATGATCAGCAATGACCTCGTCCCTGAGGATGGCCCTAAGAATGGTGTGAACTTTGAAGGAAGGCTGCACAAGACACCTGGCAGTGGCAATGGCAGAGGCAGTCAGAGGTCCAGAGACACCAGTGGTCGTCAGGAATTCAAGAATATTGGGGGTAAGCCTGAAGGGCACAGGTCTGTTGGCATCTAGCTCTCCACTGGTGTCATCAATATCAAACTTGAAGTAGGCGACATTGATGAGGCCCGAGTCCTGATGCACATACATCATGTCAGGATTGAGTCTCGTCAGATGGAGGACATACTCAGCGAAACAAGCGAGGGACAATTGGAGTGTGAACATCTTTCTGAAGGTCCAGTAGTCAGTGGCTGAGGGGAAGGTCTTGATCGCCCAGTCTCTCAGCATTGTCCTGGGGACCATAGTGGTCTGCACCTCCTTGAGAATGTCCCGGAGCACTTGGTGACTGGCCTGAGCCCCCCTCGCCTGCACCGCAGCTAGCCTCTCGTAGTACCTGGCTATCGGGGCGTCATGCTCAATTCCCATCTTGGTGCAGCCCTTCTTGTAGATGTCCAGGAGGGAAACCGACGCTGGATTGTCCTCGACAAGCCTCATCTGGGGTGACACAGCGACCACCCTTGGCACAGTGAAGTGCAAGAATCTCCTCGAGGTCTCCTTCTGCTTCGCCAGGTAGTGATTCAACATTCTTAGCAGTTGCAGCACCCGTTCCTCTCGCCTTGCGTCACCAAGCCCAGCGTCATTCACCACTAGGTATGGATACAGTCTTCCGTTGTGACCTCTGATCCTCAATCTCCTGGCTGCTGTGTTGTGCCTCTGGACCACCTCCACCCTTGGCATGAACCTGGAATATTTCATTTTAATTAGCCCCCATTAAGGATATCTAAGTACTTTGGCTAGTTTTTGCTTCCGAATGGAAGCTTCGTAACACGGTTGAACGAAAGTTTTCATGATGGTTTTTAATTTCTTTTGAAAAATCTCTCTAGCACGTCTAGCTTTCGAGGAAAAAAAATATTGAAATATTGAAAAATGGATAAAATGAACAATACGACAAATTTGTAAAAAAATTTATTTTTACGTAGCTTTCCCAAAAAAAAGCTATAAATTGATGGAAATGCAATTTCTTTAGTGATTTTATTATTCGATTTTATCCCAATTGGTTGAGCCAAAACGAGTGAAGAAAATCCTGAAAGAGTCCCTATTTCATGATTTTTCTTGTGAAATCAATTGATCACAAGTTGATTGCAAAATTTTTCAAATTGCCTGATAAACAATTAATTTTTTTGCACTAATTATTCGTTTTCAGACACATATAATCGATCTTCAATGCATGAAAAATCTCACTCCAATACCTCACGACTTTTAAAACTCATAGTAGCCTCCCCTTAATAACAAAAAGTTGGTAATTTTTTTTCGCTTGAATTGCGTCAAACAGTCATTTTTCGACTGTCTTATTTGCCCCACTCTCCCCCCATCTCATCCAACTTTCTTCACCGAAATATCCCAAAAACCCAATAAAATCGAATACAAACCTGGCGATTCTGACGTAGTAATGCGAATGCTTGGGCAGTAGAAACTCCCCCGGTAGTTCCACCTCCGCAGTCTTAAGACTGAAATTACTCAGAAATCTGCACTTCTCCTCAATGAGAAAGGACTTGGGCAGCTGCTTGGTCTTCCCCTCCAAGATCTTAATCCACTTCTTCAGTTTGCTGATCAAGTTATGCAGCAGCCTGGCCCCGGGAACCGTGAAGTCAAAATCCGAGGTGAATTGTCCCTTCATCTTCTGAAAGACTGGATCCTGCACAGTGGCCTGCGCCCTCCTGGCAAGGCTCTCCGAGGCAGCCGAACCAAAAGTATTATTGACATTCTGCGACGACGAAATATTCTCAATGCCAATGCCAAAAGTCGACACAAGTTTCTTGACAAAATTGAGGGTATGCGGAGTAATGGTGGCTTCAGACACAGCCCCCCTATTCTCAAAAGCAATGGCATAGCACTTGGCAAGTCCCTGCCTGAGTTGCCTGAGCACTTCCTCATACCAAGTCTCCCTGAACCACACCATCTGATCGACAATGCCCTCCAAGGACGACAGAATAGTGGGATGAATGTCCCTCTGCATGTGCATGATCTTGGAGCACCTCCACATGGGTGGTGTAGCCCTGATGGGTCCGGTCTCAGGGCCAGGCTGCACACCCCTGCCCTCCTCAGTCTTCCCAGCGAGTTCAGCACTCTTGTACCTCTCCCTCTGCTCGATCTTCAGTGTGAGATAGAGAGTCCTTATCGAGAAGTAAACAGCCTGTGGGAACATCCTCCCAACCTGAGACAACAGATTGAGTATGACATTGCCTTCATTTCTAACTAGGCACATCAGCAACTGAGGTATCCAGGGTAGCCACTGAATCGGTGGAACCCCAACAGCGTATTTATCGAGTGCCTCCATGAGCGAGAACTTCTCGTCGTCGTACGTCAGCAGCCAGAGGACTTTGGCCAAATACTTGCGAGACTTGGATTCGTTCTGGTGTCTGCAGGCGTGCAGGAAACAGGTGATGGCTGAAACACCGATTGATATCTGTCTGGAGTCACGGGTGAATATGTGCTCGAGGTAGTCCCCCCAGAGTGCCCACGCCTTCACCAGAGTGTCGTGCATCTGGACAGCAGCTGAGAACGCCTTGTTGGCGTCGTCTGACCTCCCAATCTGGGAGAGAAGCATTCCCTTGAGTGCGTAGAACTCAGCAGTCATCTCCTTCGTAAAGTACTTGAGATTCGTCGACTCGATGACCTCGAGGCCATCTTGAAGTTCATTCTTACCGCTGACAGACGCCATCTGGAGATAGCACTTGACCTGCTGTCTGATCTTCTGAAAGCAGTCGACGATGGGAACACTTGGGATCGTGTAGATCCTGGAGAGTGAATCTAGACAGACACCAGTGAGATTGTGCTTCCTGGCTATTTTTCCGAAATGGATGATGGCTTGGGCTGACGCGTGCACCCCGAACATGGAGTGATTGGTCGCCTGGTCTTGCTGGGCATCGTAGTGTGACGAGATGAAGGTGTAGTGATGCTGGCGCCACGTGAATATGTCGGACCAGTGGCTCAAGTCATCAGCAATAACTGGTAAGCGATTTCTCCAGGTCTTGACGATGGCCTTCATATCGTGAAGGGATGAGGAGCGACCATGGATGAGGCCCTGATGAATCTGCATGGCCTCCTGCAGCTCCATTATCTGCTGGGCTGCCTGGAGCAGAGGCAGGTGAATGTGGGAGACAATGTGAGGAAGTCTCCTCCACTCTCTCATGCACAAACCCGAGGCCAACTCCACGTATCTCTCGACTGCATTGAGATGCTGATCCTCTGAGTGACAGATTGCGAGGAAGCCACGGTAGAGATTCACCTTCCACGCCATCTCCTTGGGGCAGTTGTGCTCGACCTGTGCCAGGGCCTCCTTCATCAGTCCCCAGTTTGGAATTCTCCAGGAGCTCTCGAGAATGAGGAAAGGATTCTTCTCCGCTTTCTTGCTGCCGTACTCCAGAAGAAGATCCCACTGGTTAAGCTCTTTGGCACACCTGATCCAGTGGTGCTCCCAGAGAATCGCCTCGCGTTGGGTCTTGAATGGTGCAGGTGTTGTCACGTAATCCTGCTTGAATTTGGTCATAGCCAGGTCGTAAGCACCCTGGGCCTGCTCGAAGAATCCCTGCTGTTCCAGGGCTGTGGCCTGCAGGGTCTCCTTGTAATGCGCGTGCTTCTGCCAGAGTCCAGCCCACATGTCCTCCTCGCAGAGTAACGAGTACATGTCTGATAATGAGTCCAAGACCTCGGCGTGAGGGCTGTTATCAGGTTCAAAGTCATAGCAGTCAGTGTCCCTCGTTTTTCTACTGCCACTTGTCGAATTATTGCCGTCAAACGCCATCTGCTCGAGACTGAGGGTCATCCTGTGCCAGAGATTGTGAGATCTCCCCAAGTACTTCATCAAAGCTGGTCTCATGGGCACTGGTGGGTCACAATGAGCCAGTGCCTCCACGAACGTTGCGATTGCCGAGGGATGGCAGTCCTTCTGGATCACGTGGGTCCCGGAGCATACGAAGGGCACAATCTCACCGATCAGGGTGTTGTGCTGGTGGTCATCCAGAATGGACCACAGTCTGGGGAATGTGTCGAGCCAGACACATTCAGCTAGACTGGTGTCCATGTGGCAGAGCTGAGAGGCCGAGTTCAACAGTTGCTCTGTCCTGATCTTCCTCGAGTACTCAATGAAGTCCGACTGTTTGGAGACCAGTTGGGTCAGAGTGCCTGTCTGCTCAGTGACAGTCTTGACGACGTCTTCAGGTACCGTTCCGCTTGGATCCACTGTCGATAGATCAAGATCGAAGATCTCGTCTTTCTCTCTCATGATGGAGTCCTTCGTGTCAGCAAGATCGCCAGCGATGTCAGTTTGCTCGTGGATCTCCTGAGGCTCCTCCTTCACATTCGTGTACATCATGAAGCACTTCAGGTCCTCAGAGTCCGCCACATTGATGATTGAGTTGACTGACGGAAGTAATGTGTCTTGATTCGACAATTGGATCTGAGTAGTTGAGGACGCCGTCACCAGGAGGAGCTCAATGCACTGTTTAATCCAGTAATGCGGCCCCATGGCGTCCCAGCTCTGACTGCAAACGATGTACAGCAGTCTATCATGGAGTCTTCGTCTCATGGAGCCATCGAAAACTTCAAAGAACTTGGCCCTGATGTGGGGTTGAATGCACCTGAGGCCGCTGAGAAAAGCCGGCTCGAGTTTCGAGGTCAGCTCAGAGGACTTGAGTGTCTCGTCTCGATAAACAAAGTTGACGAGCTCGAGAAACTGTCCATTGAGCTCAAGATCATCTGGAAACCTCTTCTCCACGTACTGCATCATCTTCACGAGGAGAATCGACTTCTCCCGAAGGCTGGGAGCCTGATTCATGGCAATAGTATTCTTGTTCTTCATCCACTCCTCCAGCATCTTGGTTATCGCCTTCATGACCTTGATGTCCTGAGTCTTCTCAATGAGTCCCACGAGGATAGCGCCAATGAACGACTTCCTCATGTCCACTCCCATCACCCCAACCCTGCTCTTGACAAGATCCAAACTGAGGATCAGCAGCTCACTCCCAACAGGATTCGACTCGGTCTGCGTCGAGTGGAGATGATCCTTCGCCATTTTCTGGAGGACTCGCATGAATGGTGTGATCAATCGATCAATGTAGCTCTGATTGTTGGTACATGCTGCCTTGAGCATCATCAGTGTCCCGAATAGAGTGCTAGGTGCGGCTGAGGGGTTCTTCTCGTAGGCCGCGAGACCATCAAACACGAATTTTCCAACAGTCGTGTAGAGGGTGTCCAGCTCCTCGTGCTTGGAGGCCACAGTTGACGACGTCGGCTCAGTCGGAAACAGTGTCATCAGCCTGGACAGCAGGCCGTGCACCAGTCTGATGACTTTGGTATTGGCACTGGCAATACAGGCTCCCAGCCCTCTCTGAAGTGGTTTAAAACTTGCCAATATCTGCTCACGTTTCATCACCCCAAGGAGAAAAGTCACGAGCTCAAGAGCCGTGCAGATATTTCCATAATTCGGCTGGGCATTGTCAACACTCGCAAAGACCTTGTCCAGCCAAGCCAGCTTGAGATCACACGACTGCGGCCAGACATCGGGTTTCAGTGCCATCTTGAGGAGAGTAACACATCTCCTTGAGAGCTGCTCTCCTGGATTCCCTCCCTGTCCTACCGTGGCAGCAGCCGCATTCGCATTGGCGGTTGCCGTTGCAGCAGCTGTGGTTGACGCACCGGAAGCCGCTGCTGCGGCTGCTGCTGCAACGGCAGCCGTCGTTGCAGCAGGCGTTGTCGTGGTGGTGCCGTCATTAACCTGACAAGCCAGCCTCAATAGAAAATTCAATATAGCATCAGCGTGAGCGCGTTCAATGGGTTTTGTCGAACCGGGCTCCACTCTCGGTTGCACAAGGACACCTGGACTCATAGCAGGCCCCACAGCCACTCTCTTCGACGATGGATCTTCCCCGGTTATCTGTCGTTTGACTCCACTTGATGTCTGAGTGATCACTTCACCGGCTGCCTCCGCCTCGTCCTTGATCCTGTGCAACTCCCACTTGATGATGACCTCAGCAAGCTCAACGGCTAGTCTTCGATGCTCAATAGTCGCTGTTGGACTGAATCCAAGGCGCTGAATGGAGTTCACCATGTGCTGTACCAAATGATGACGGACGGGGTAGTAGACTTTGTAATGACGCACGACAAGCTGAAGAATGTGAAAGAGTTGCTGCATGGAGTGGCCCTCCTCGACGATGATCTTCTTGGTCCAGTATGTCAGCATCGTGTTACCGTCCTCCATTCTCACTGGCATCGCAGGCGTCAGGATCTCCAGGGCCTGGCGCACAACGCTCCTAGCCTCGACAGCGTGAGCCTTCAGGAGTGAGTGGAAAACCTGGAGAACAATTCTCTTGTGAATCGCAAACTTGGCGATTATGTGGGAGAGCAAGAGATGGCCGTGATATCTCGTCGCTGGGTCCACGCAGTTTTTGCCGAGTAGGCAGGGCCAGGCAAACGTCATGAGTCTCCTCAGCTTGTTCCCCTGGCGCTTGTTGGTAGCATCGTGAATATGCTGGCTCGCCTGTTCAACGAGAAGACACGAGAATTGCAGCAGTGATATCCTTACGCAGTCAGCCGAGCCGAAGGGATTGTCAGGATCAATGATCTTGCTGATGAAGACTGACACGACGTTCTCAGGATTGTCCTGATAGGGCATTGGTGCACCACCAACAAGCTTCACACCTTCACCCCGTTCGAAGCTCACAGCAAAGCAGGGGATGATGATCAACTGGAGGACCTTGGCTTTGAGCTCCTGTGACATGTTGTTGGTGGGAAAGTGCTCCACAAATCTGAAAAAAGCTGCTCGTTTCCACTCCACCGTGTACTCCTGGGCAACAGTAGTCTCCAGGAACTCTCGCAGAAATTGAAAGTCAGGTATGAAGCGATCGCAGTTGGCCCTCAGCAGTTGGAAGAGAAGGTCAATGTCGTTGGGATGATGACCGAAATAATGGAGGAGGATTTTGACGATCAATTTGGGCTCCTTCCACCGAGAGAAGTCGACGGAATCAACTCGTTTGTGAAGTGCTTGGTAGTCGTCGTTGCACCAGATCTGCTTTAACGCCGCAATCAGCTGATCCTGGTTGAACAGCCACTGCTCATCATACTTGATCAGTACAGATACAATCCTTATGGCCTGATGCTGCAACTCACTCTTCTCAGGTGGTGTCAATGTCGAGTTTGTTTGGGAATGGGCCAGGAGCATCGTGATGAGGCGAGCTGTGCTGTTGTGGAGAACATCCCTGAAGGGTTTTCCCTCTTTATGCTTGATCAAGAACTCCAGGTACCTCGACCACTGCTGGTCCTTGATGTTGTTGTCGTGCAAGAAGAGATTGAGCGTTTCAGCGGGATATCTCAGTAAGAATCTCATCAATGGGATTCTAAAAGGGCTAGATGCCTCGACCAGCAATGACTTCTCGGTCTGGAGGACTAGTCGACAGAGAACATCTATGAACTTTGGAGTGGCTGCTGGAATCTGATGGAAGATTCCGATAATCGTCGCGATCTTCTGCTCATTCTCACCTGATTTTGACACCCCCTTGTGCGCCTGTATCAGGTTCTCCAGTAGTTTCCTGAGATGTTGAAGGAGTTGCTCGCACAGAGTGATGCTGAAAGTACTTGGAAACAGCTGTGTCAGGTAGGAGAGTCTTTTGACACAATTGAGAGATAGATTTCTGTGATCACCGAGGGTCAGCAGCATGGGCCTCATGATGGAATGAACGTTCTCCATTTCAATCTGAAATCCAGCTATGAATTTCTTCATGCACTCGAAAGCAGCCTCTTGTAACTCGCCATTAGGCTTCTCCAGGGCTTTGTAAAGAACCCCGAAGATCTTGTCACGACAGTTGACAATGTAATGACAAGCTGCCAGGGCCCTCAAGGCAGACTTCCTCAAGGGAATGAGATTGGTCACTGATTTGTAGCAGGGGAGCTTCTGCAGAGTGGTGTCCTCAGCCTCTGAGAGTGTTAGCAGCTCCTGGAAGAACACCTTGTGCTCCATAATCTGTAGATCAATGGTGAAGAGTCTCGGTGATAGAGTTGTGCAGAAGGTGTTCCCATCCATGAGTCCAATCTGCGCATTGGCAGGCTGATGCCTCAGTAGATGTTTCTTCGGTGGAATCATGTCTGCTAGGACCTCCTTATGCGGCTCCATCACTTCGGTCACAGTTTTCTGCTGAATTTCAGCTAAAAGTCGAAGAGAAGCCATCGCCTGCTCTCGGACAATTGTGTGAGGAGATGTCACCTGTCTCACCAACTCATGAGTAACTTCGTAAAGGCTCTTGTTTTGCGACTCGATGAGTTCTTGGGAGGTCACATCCTCCTGATTATCAGTCTCCATCATCTCCTTCTTAACAATCCCCGAGTTAACGCAGACCCTCAGCATCTGCTCGAGATTAGCTTTGGCCATGTCAATGGCGCCATTCGATACCTCCCCAGTCAGATCCATCATCACGAACATCAGAGCCTTCAGGAACACGAATAGATGATTCAACACCCACTTTGTCGCCATGTGTTCGAACAAAAACTTGATGGCAATGCAGCCCCCAAGTTTCGCATACCAAGCGCGTTCATAGCACAAAGAGCACATCTTCTCGGCCAGATACTCCATGAGTGGTAGCTGACATGCCCTTTCCTTGGTCCCAAGAATATTGGTAGAAGTCTCCAGTATCAAAACCAGAGCAAGATGCCCTGGTTTGCACAGTTCCTTCTCCTCATGCCCCATGATGACGGACAAAGCATCAATCAGTACTAAAGGATCGAGGCCCTGATTGATGGGGGCCAAGACCCCAGGGAGTCTTCCAGGTCTAGCTGTCTGGCAGAATGGACCAGCCTGTTGAGCAATAGCGATCATCGTGTAGTGTCTGACTAGAGAAACCATCGTCCCCAGAACGGACTGCCTCAACTCCTTGATAGCAGCTGCTACGAACAGCCCAGTGAGCGCTGTCTGCTGGACATTTCTCGTGACGATATCAGGGCACTTGTAGTAGTGCCCCTGTTGATGGGGAATCTTGCCTTCCTTGAAGCTGGGATGGGTGAAGAGCTTGTAGAGGATCGACCGATCGTCATCAAGCCTCAGCGATGCTGCCAGGTAGCAATTGATGACCTCCCAGCACTGTCTCCTGTAGAAAGGATCAGTCGTGTTGGACTTTAAAGCTGTGAATGCCGTCTCTATGACCCTCTCAACGGGAAAATCAATGGACGACTGCTTGTTCTGTTGGTCAATGAAGATGGCCACGATCGACGGAGAACTTGTCTCTCGATCGTTGTAATCAAGCTTCTGTGGCTCGATCATCATCTTCCTGTTGCCACCCCCGAACTTTCCCAGAACCCTGAAGGCAACGTGTGCCACCTGATCCGTCGGATTACGTAGGGTCCTCCAGAGGGCCTGCATTAGGTCCGCCCTGACAGGTTGTATGTGCTCGTAGAGAAAGTCAGGTTGAAGATTGTCAACGCACAGTTCCAGGGTTCTGAGGCCCTGCGACACAAGCGTGTGACTTCCATTCAACGCTGAGACGAGGGGATCCATCAGCATCGGTAGGTAAGGAAGCAGTGATGACAGCCTGACGGGAACAGTCAGGCACAATTCGACGAATAGGTCCTTCATGTGCTGCTTGTGAAGGCCTGACTGTAGCCTGTTGAGACCCTCCAACAGATTTGGTAAAAGAGGGAGGAACTCCTGGTACAGAAGATCGTGGGAACCCCCACCGATAGATCTGAATAAGGCTCGGAGCAGTAGAAAATAGTTGTAAGGCTCTTTAGCGCTCATGGCAAGCTCCATGGATCTGTTGACAATCTGATGGAGATGAGGCCTCAACATGTGCTCATTCTCAGCTGGAAATAGGGACACCGAGCCGAATACAAGCTTGAATAATCTCAAGTATAAATTTGATCTTTCGACGTTTGAACCCATATCGTCCATTCTTTCCAAAAGATACTCCACAAGAACAGTTGCAAATATGGGGGATGTGGTGGGATTAGCTAGGAATGAGTTGCCAACAATCTGGAGGGCGCAATTTTTGGATATTCTCTCGACCATGTAATCAATGGTCGTGGAGAAGATCTCCTGGAAGGTCTGTGGATTCATCATGGAGAAGACTCCACTGAAGTGTTCAAGCACCTCTTTCTCCTCCTTCGTTCTGACAGTCTGAGGCTGAACAGGTCTTCCAATCTGACCTTGCACCGTTGCACCCACTGTTGGTGGACCAATGGTGTAAATGTCGAGAGCCTGAAGCGCCCACTTGACAAGCCTGATGAAAACCAGAGTCTCCTTCGGCTGGAACTGCTTCGACTGAACAACATCCCCTGTCTTGCAGTTTGCGCAGCCCCAAGTGATGGTCTTAACCCCACAGACAAGTGTCTTAACGAGGGATCTGTAATCAGCGACGTTGTAATTCGTCGATTGTGACTGGGGAAAGCCGAACTTTGATTTGGTCTCTTTGTCGTCAGTCTCGATGACTGGTTTAACGTCCTCAGTTTTTGGTTCTACTCCCGCAGCGGGGCAGACGATACTCTGGGTATTGGATCCTCTGGCTTTGTTCAAGAGAACTGGCATCTGGAGTTTGGTTATCGTTTTGAATTTAAGAACAAAGACCTCCAGCATTCGCATGAGGAGTTCTCTGCCCTGCGTCGAGTTCTCGGCATCGCTTCTCTGACGAATGCACTCGACAAGGTTCAGCAGAAGCTTGCAGGACATTGTTTGTATTGTTGTGGGGAGACTTTGGTCGTGAACGTTCTTGCTGAAGAGGTGTACAGCACGGGCCAGATCGCTCAAGGGTAGAAGCTGTCTGACGTGATGAACGAGGTCAGCTAGGGTGGAGTAGGCGAGAGGCCTGAGGGACTCGTGAGTTGTCCAGCCATTGCCTAGGAGTACTTGTTCGTCGAACAGTCGCTCCATGTGGGGAACAAATTTCGTTCTGAGATCTGTTGCCAATATGTGTCGAGCTGCTATCAGCAACTCCTTTCTGAGGTGAGCCACCTCCATCGGACACAAGGTCAACAGTCCCAACATACCTTTAACCATCATCTGGCTGTGTTGAGAGACAACTTCCTGATAAATGCGGATTATGTAAGCGAGAAAGCTGAGGGTCTTTATCTGAGCCCCCATGAAGTCAACGAAGACCTCTTTATTGAACCCTGGGGAGGACCTGTGCTGGGGGGACGGTTGCAGGGTGATTGTCGTCATGATTAAGGGGATAAAGTCTGATACGTCTTGGTGGACGTTTTGCTTGTATATCTGATACATAAGGACCACGATTATCGGTAGCTCCTGTAGGACTTTCAAGGAGAGAACTGCCTTTGGGATTAAATTGTATGTTACTACTGTACCGTCTGCGGCTTTCTTTTCGCTTTGGATTGCTGTTATCGTGAAGGTCTCCTTCAGGAGGGACTCGATGTTTATTTCTGATAGGTCTTTAACGCGGAGGGGGGGTCGGGGCTCGAATATCTTGGGGAGGTTCTTGGGGAGCTCTGAGTAGATGGACTTGACGAATTGGAGGAAGTGTTGTATCTGGAAGATACAAGAGAGCTCTTGTCAATTCTTTTGATCGAGGAAAGAGCTGGATTGGGAATGGATTATTACAATAATCCTCAGCGGCTGTGCCCTTGATACAGCAGTTCGACTTAACGCGGATGCGTCTAGTTTATTCATGTACCGGTGGGTTGGAAATGAGGCAGTCGTCACCTAGATGAGACGTTGAGTCTAACTGCTGTATAAAGGGTGCAGCCGCTTAGGATTTTTTTCATTGTAGGGATTGACATAAATTGAATTTCTTAATAATATCCGAATGTTCGAGAAAATCCGAGAATTTTATGATATTTTCTGTAAAACCGGAAAATTTTCTCGAATTTTCCAGAAATCTCGGGAAATCATAGAAAACGTAGGGTGAACAGTCCAATTACGGAACCTTCCGAATTAATGGAACACTTGAATATTTTGCCAGATTTCTAGAATATTTACTTATCTATCGAATCGATTTCTTTTTTAATCAAGTCGATATTTTCATCCATGATATGAGAATATATTTGGTGGTCCATGTGCTGTTTTCTGTTCAATAATAGAAACCCTGCCGGCTGATATTTTCAGCGATTTTGCAACAGGTGAGTAGTCGATGTGACAGTGTGCCGAACGAAGTTACTTGGGTTAATAATTATCAAATGTCGTAAGTCCAGACTAACATTGATCCTAAAAGCTTAATTTTTTTATACTTCTGCATTCATTTTATCCGAAAGTTCTGATCTCTACAAATATATGGGTGCTCCGTCCAGGGATTACCGTTAAATATTATAGCCATTAATTAGTTCACATCACTATTAAATTTTTTGAGTACTTAAGTATCATCAATTCAAATATTATAATTTTTTAACTATTTTATCAATCAATAATTGAGGTAGGAAGATTGATGATTATTTGTGCAATAGGAGATTCCCTTTTAAGAAATTGGAATTATTCATTTAGTGGTAAATTTACAGTTTCATATTATAACAAATTTTAAATACATCATATTTCACAAAACTCCAATGTTCCGTAATTGGGCGCACGATGCTCCATATTTGGCAAAAGTATTCAGTAATAGGTCTTTTGGACTTGAACATAATTTCTCCCGATTATTTCTCATAACTCGTTTTTTCTTTTTTATTCTGAAACCTGCTGAATTTGGAATCGACCAGTAGGGGAGGGTAGGGTAAAATGGACACTTTAGACTTTTTTAAAATTCTTCATAACTCAGAAACAAATGTATCAATAGAGCTCAGTTTAGGCTGATCAGAAAAGGAAAGAATTGTTCATTGAAAAAAAAAATGATTAAATTTCATCAACATTTCAACCCGTCACTAATATTTTTAAAAAAGTCAAAAGTGTCCATTTTACCCCAACCTCCCCTAATTTTTTTATATTTTTTCCAACAATAGTTCATTTTTAAGTCATTGTCTAAACCACCGAAGAGCCTTGAGTGTTCTATAATTAGACTGTTCACCCCATCACCTATTTTTTAATGGAGGATCAGACTTATAACTCATCAGCAAGTGGGAAAGATCCACTCCAACATCTCCAATACAATTATTCATGAATTTACATACCTCTGCATAAAGTATGAATTTAGAAGAAATTTTATATAATTGACGTTATTAAATATTAAGGAGAGGATGAGGCACAGACATGTGTAAAACAAACAAAACGCTTGTAACACCAAGGACACGAACAAATAAAAAAAATAAAAATACATACCTCTGGATTGAACGGAGGTCGATACTGCTTATGCAACTCGATGATAATCCTCAGACAAACGAGGATATTCTCCTCGTTCTCAGTCTCCAGTAGCTTAAGCATAAGACTCAGAATTTGTTTGACGTAAGGACGAAGATAGTCATTAGTCGGCAATCGGTGGATCATCTCCAGGATAAGTTTCCTCACTTGCTGAATATTGTACTCTGATATGAAGTGTGGCTCCCCCTCCTGCAGGATCTTCAGGAAGATCTTCATCAGGTGATCCAGGAATGCGGGGTACTGGGTGGCGCACATTATCACCTCGAAGTTCTCGGACAACTCCTGGGCAGCTTTGAGTTTCAACTCGTCCTTTGACCCTGGATCCGCCAACGTCGTCACGTACGATCTGTACGTGTTCATCTGTGTCAGCGGGTCTGGAGGCGCCATTTTTCTTGATTATTTGTTGCAAAAGATTTTTTCAATTTTTTTTTTTACCTAGAACGAAAAGTCGAAATGAGGAGTTCGTTGAGTCTGAAAAGTTGGAAAAAAATTAACAGATGATTACGGATGTGTGGAGAGATGTGACCCCATGAACAACTTCGATTTTCGGGTTTTACTGCGAGGGGCTGGGGGTTTTAGGGGACTCCAGGGTGAATCAATGACTCAAGGCCAAGTGTAAACAATGCCGTAGCAACCCCCTGCGTGATAATATTTATCCTACATGTGGGGTATGTTTTGCAGTGGCACTGCGTCATTCGAACCCTCAACATGTGACTCGACTGCACATATTTTTTTTAATCCCAAATTTCATTGAAATTATTCCGAAATGGATGAGAAGACAATTGATTCGATTTTCTCGGGGTCTCTGAAGAGTCTTCCACCAGTCAGTTCGAAGATCGTGAGGATTTTCACGAGTTCAACATTTACAGGTAAAATTTTTTAGAATTTTAATTTCCCGAAATTTTCCAATACGATACTTTTTAAATCTATTTTCTTTCGAGCATCACAACATGTTTTTCTATTAATCTCCAATACTTAGACACAACAATGGAACGAAACACTTTGATGGCGCAGTGTTACCCGAAGTTGAAAGATTATTGCCGGGAAAAGCATGGATTGGAGTTTCAGGTGAGTCTTGCCCTTGAGCCTAGAAATTTTCCCATCCTAGAACGGTACCTGGTACCACCTGGGAAGGGGGGGGGCGGGGTTACCGCATGATGTAATATTTTCGTGTCTAGTGTTGTTGCCGGAAGTGGGTCAAAGAGTTTAAAATTTACAGGTGGTAGATATGCGATGGGGCGTACGTGATGAAGCGACCGATGATCACATGACAACCGAACTCTGCATGAGGGAGATTGAGAATTGTCAGCGGCTCTCCATGGGGCCCAATTTCGTCGTAATTACCCCAAAGATTAATTAAAACCCAACCCAAACCCCCAATTGCTGCCCAATCATCTTTTCAGTTGGAAAATTTTTGAATTTCCCGCCTCGTTTTAAGGCGCTACTCAGCCGGAAGTACCGTCCCCTAGCGACGGACGTTCTGAGGCTCTTCGTGGGGCCCAATTCTATCGGGATTCCCCCAAAGATCAGATAAAATCAAGCCGAAATCTCCACTTATTGCCCAATCATCTTTTTAATCGAAAAAAATCGAATTTCCCGCCTTTTCTTATGCTGTTACTCGGCGGAAAGTACCGTCCATTCCCGACGAACGTTCTGAGGCTCTTCATGGGGTCCCATTTCATCGGAATTACCCCGAAGATTCATTAAAACCCAGACGAATCCTCCAATTTTCGTCTAATCATCTTTTTAGTCGAAAAATTTTTGAATTCCCCGTCTTCTCTTAAGGTGTTATTCGACGGAAAGTATGTGGGACCCAGTCCTATCGGAATTTCCCCAAAGATTGATTAAAACCCTGACAAAACCCGCAATTATTGCTAAATCATCTTTTTAGTCGAAAAAACGTTGATTTTCCCACCTCTTTTTAAGGTGTTACTCGGCCGGAAGAAGTTCTGAGGCTCTTCATGTGGCCCGGTTTTATCGAAATTACCCCAGCAATTCATTAAAACCCAGACAAAACCCCGCATTATTGCCCAATCAACTTTTTAGTCGAAAAAATTTCAAATTTCCCGCTTTTTCTTAAGGTGTTCCTGGGCCAGAAGTACGGCTACCGTCCGATTCCGACATACGTCTTGAGCTCTGAACTAGAGATGCTCCGGGCGGACCTCGAAACCCAGGGTATGGAGGTGGAGGTCTTGGACACTTGGTACAAGAAGGACAGCAACGCAGTTCCGCCCACCAGCGTCTTACAGCCAATCTCTTCGATCCTCAAGAACTTCAACAACAAGCGAATTCCAAAACTCCAGGCGGAGGACCAGGCGATCTGGTGGGACACAATGCTGAAGATGCAGAAGTTGTTTCGAAAAGGTGCCCAGTCGCTCTTCAACTCTGGGAAATTCGACAAGGATACAATGCACAACTACTTCATGTCGGTAACCGAGCGAGAAGTCATAAACGGAATTCTCAACGTCAAGAACACGAAGAACCACTGCTTGGCATACGTCAGATACATCAACAACATAAACCTCCAGAACTTGCGGAAGGCGGGTCTCTTTCTGGACATAGCCAACAGGAGTTTGGACAACGAAGCAGCTAGATTGCTGGCAGATCTACGAGACGAGCGACTGCCCAACAAGATTGAGAGTGGAAATCTGCAGCGATATACAGTTGAATGGATTGGACGTGAGGGTCTAGACCCGGAGACCCACGGGGAGTACCTCCAGCATTTCATCACGCACTTCTACAGGAACATGGTGAAGCTGGTGGACAGGGCAATGAGGAAGGAAGACAGCTCGGCCCAAGGGCAGATAATCACGGAACTTCTGCAGCATCTCCATGCGTGCAACAACTCAGTGAAGGTATTCTACGGTCGTGAGGACTCCCTAGAGAAGATCAAGACATACATGCTGGGGGATAGTGAGAAGCCGCTAGTACTCTACGGCGAGGGGGGCTGCGGCAAGACTTCACTTCTCGCCAAGAGTGCGGGACTGAGCAATTCTAATAATTGGTTGTCAGGAAAGAAACCGATAAGTGTCATCAGATACCTAGGGACAACCCCCGACAGCAGCGCGCTCACTCCCACGTTGATATCCATCTGTCAACAGATATCCTACAACTTCATGCTTCCATTTGACGAGATCCCAGATGATCTGGTGCCTCTCACAGCACATTTCAAGCATCTTCTGACGCTTGCCACCGCGTATCAACCGATCCTCTTATTCCTTGACTCTGTCGATCAGCTGACAGGGGCCCAGGGTAACAAACTCTCATGGCTTCCCACCAGATTACCCCCCAATTGCAAGATGATCCTGTCCTGTGCGGCTGAGGAGTCCAATCCCGTCATCTCCCGGGACTATCACCTTCTTCGAAGAATGATTGACACTGAAGAGAGTTTCATTGAAGTCACTGCTCTAGGAGAAGAGCTAGCCATGGACGTCATCAAGATGTGGATGAAGACCGCTCATCGTGACCTCAACAACTACCAATGGCGTCTCGTTGCCAACGCCATCTCCAAGTGCTCCCTCCCGATCTTCGTGAAACTAGTGTTTGCAGAGATTTGTCGATGGAGAAGCTACACCAAACCCGCGGATACTCATCTGGCGAGCACAGTGATGGACAGCATCATGATGCTCTTCGAGAGGATCGAGAAACAGCACGGAAAGATCTTGGTCTTCCACGCACTAGCCTACATCACAGCTGCCAAGAGCGGACTATCGGAATCCGAACTTGAAGACCTGATATCTCTGGACGATAAGGTCCTAGATGACGTCTACCAGTATCATCTGCCTCCAGTGAGGAGGATTCCCCCTCTCCTCTGGACGAGAATCAGAAACGATTTGCCGAATTATCTGAGTGAACGAGAGGCTGACGGTGTCAGTGTCCTCAACTGGTACCACAGACAGTTTCGAGATACTGCCAAGGAGAGATACTTCAAGAACATGAACATGGCGATGTATTTTCACTCGATGATTGCGGATTACTACCTGGGGATCTGGGGTGGTGGGAGACCGAAGCCCTTCAAATATACCGAGATCCAGAGACATCGTTTCAATCTCACGGATAAGGAAGGTGTGGCTGATCGCAAGGTACCGGAGCAGCCGCTCGCCTTTTACTCAAAGGAAGGAAAGCTATCGCGATACAACTTGAGGAAGTTTGGCGAGCTGCCGTACCACCTGGTGCGAGCGAGGAGATTCAATGATCTCTTCGAGAACGTTCTATTTAATTACGAGTGGCTTCACGCCAAGCTGAGCTCCTGCCCGCTGCAGGCAGTGCTGTCAGACTTTGAGGATGCTTGCACTAATATTGAAGATCAGAATCACGTGAGGGAGTTGATGCTGGTGGCCGATGCTCTGCGGTTAGGAGGCGCCATCCTCGGGAATCATCCGAATATGCTGGCGCCACAGTTGGTCGGAAGACTCCTCCCAGAAATCGGAGGCAATTACAACATCATGATGCTGCTGAGGGCTTGCGACAAAGATGGCACGAAAGATTGTGCGTTAATGCCATTGTATCACTGTCTTCATACACCCGGAGGACCTCTGAAGGTGACTATCAGGATCTTCTTCGAATCATTTGTCAAAGTATCGGTTTCTGTTTTCAGTACTCCTTGGAGGGTCATCAATTCGCAGTTTTCGGATTCTGTTTGACCTCGGACTACCGCTACGTGGTATCAATTTCCAACCGCTTCATCACCTGGGACCTCTCCACCAGCGACATGACTCGTGACGTCAATCCCGGGATTGAGGGCATCATGCAGCAGCTGATTCTCAGTCCTGATAACAGATACGCAGCGGCGTTCACCACGAACAATCAGATCGTCATCCTGAACACGTTGACAAGTGAATTCGTCATCGTGGACAATCCCCTTCCGGAAGAGGAGCCGGTCTGCGGGGTCCACCTGATGAACCAGTTCGCCTTTGTCTGGGGGAGGAGCGGCTGGTGCCGATTTGATCTGCGTGGGAACCTCCTGTCCAAGCACTCGTCTTCAGAGGATCCTAATCAATGGCAGATCCTCACTGTCGAGTACACAGTCCTTGAGGAGTATCGCCTGGTCTTCTGGACGGGTAGTCTAGAAGACCCAGTGATGCAGCTCAACACATACCTCTCATCCGGACCTCTGGACTCTCTCCGATTTCGGGCAGCAATGGCATTGACCAACGACAAACGAACTCTCTACGCCTGCAGCTCTGACGACGACTTCCGGGTCACAAAATTCACAATTTCTGAGAATCAGTCGCACTGGGAGAGGCAATTTGACATGGGGCGAGCCTACAACGACAAGACAGAGTACCTCCTTCAACTGAAGATCGACAGACACGAGGAGACACTTCTCGCGACCACTGGCAACGGCTTTGTCGTCTGGTTCTTGGACAACACCTCCAAACCAGCTGTTCTGTCGTTACCCAATGGCGTGAGGAACATCAGCACCAGAATGCTGTCATCCAACTCAATAATGGTGAGTGGCACCAAGAATTACGCAGTAGCGGGAGTCAGAAAGAACCTCTACGTCTGGTGTTTGGAGACGTCTGACCTCGTCAAGATCCTCGACGCTCACTTCGCGAGGATCATCCAGCTGGAGGCGCTAACCATCGGCAACTGGAATAGCGTCATCACCTCCAGCATCGACAGAAGCGTCAAAGTGTGGAACATTGACAACATCTTCGAGCAGGTTCACGTCATCGATCGTCACGAATTGCAGATAGATTCCATTTGTCTCGCTGAGGACTGCAGTCTCGCGGTGACTGTCACCAGGAGTTGTGTCGGGGTCTGGGACCTACAGTCCGGGAAGCTAGTGTCAAAACTAGCGGACAGCCCCCTAGGGGCGATAGTAACGCACGCATCGATAACTCACGACGGAAAGTTTATCGTTTCGACGGAATCTGGGAATCTGCTGATTTGGAATAGGATCACAGAACAGGTGCTGTTCAAGGAGGAACAGCCGGGGATCAGGCAACTGACTCTCCTTCAGGAGTCGACCAAGTGCCTCGCAGTCTCCAGACCCTCCAACCCCATTGGGGTCGAGTGCATGAAGACTACAGCTACTCTAGTCATGAGAAGCGTTCCTGATGGCAGAACGCTGTTCTCGGTGGAGTATCCTGTCAGGAGCCACACGGGCATGCCCTTCAGGAAGGTTGTGCTCACATCTGATGGGGGATTTTTGGTCGTACCTGGTGCCGAGAAGTTATCCAGGGACTTTGTCATTGTTTATAATGCCAAAACGGGAGCTCTTGTCAGCAAGATTCCGATCAAGCTGCCTGGGTTCAAGGATATTCTCAGTCTTGTTCCGATGCCGAATAAAGCTCAGTGGGTGGGCATCATTGGGAGTGATAAGGGGAGCATTATTGATATTAATAAGAAGAAGATCATCAGGTCGATACCGAGGTGGAGTGGGAATATCAGTAAGGATGGAAAGTACACGCTTTATGCTCCTAGCAGGTTTGTCACTCGGTCATTATTCCTTGGAGATTTTACCGGGCAGGGAATTGTTGGGGGGAAATTGTTCTTTAAAGGAAGGATCCTTTGATGATTTTTGATAGAATAACTGATTGTTCATGCAATCCAGGAAGTATTGAGAGGTGGGAAAACAAACGAGAAATTCTAGAGAGATTATTTCGGAAATTCATCAAGAATGAATGGATTTAGAGAAAAATGTCATGAGACTTTGTTGTGGAGAATTAAATTGTCTGCAAAAAAGATGTTTTCATGATTTTTGATAGAACAACCCAGAACGTAAATAATTTAAAAATTATCAGAAGATGGGAAACCAGCGGAAAATTTCGGACAGATTATTTCGGAAATCTATCAAGAATGACTGAGTTTAGAGAGAAATATCACGGGACTTTTTTATAGGGAATTGAAGTATCTACAAAAAGGGTCTTTTGATGATTTTCGATAAATCGCTTAGTTCTCGAAATATTCGAGATAATTATGAGGTGTGAGTGATTTTTTATGCTTTTAGAGGGGGTTTGGAACTCGTGGAGCTGAAAAAAGGAACGACTGTGAAGACGTACATTCCAAAAGTTGCCGAAGGTGTCTTCACCGTGATTTCAATGTTCAATAGGACTGATGAGTATGTTCTTTATTACCACAGTGGGAGAAAGACAATCAGAATCTTCAGGTGGGAGTTTAATTAATTAATTAGTTGAAATTCGTTGAGAAAGTTCTAGGATTTTGAGACGGAATTGTTTTCTAGGTCTTCTGATTGCGAGATGATAGCCAATTACAGAGTTCCAGCTGAATTGAGCGCTGTGGACAGCACATATGACGGCAAGAGCATCGTCCTGGGGACAGTGGATGGTTGTGTTTCAGTTCTGGCTATTGCTGATCCACAGAAACCTGATATGAAGGAGTACCTGAGGGCTTTACCCTCCAGAGACGAAACGGTAACTCATCTTAACAATGTTATTTACGATTTCTGGGAGAACTACAAAGGGAATTTAGCCCTAGGAGGAATATATCCAGTTTCATTGCGGTTTCAGTATTTTTAGAGTTAATTATTGAATTTATAGTTTTTCTATTCACCTGGGACAATTAAAAAAAAATTGATTGCTGAATTTATTGAAATTTTTCGCACTTGCGAATCAACTATTCAAGTTTTCTGTTCAAATTTTATTTAAAAATTCTGCTGCCCAGATAATTGTCTATTCAGCTAGTATAAATCTTTGATGAATTACTGCTGATGAATTTCTTGCTGTTTTCTTAAAAAATTCTACAGTGACTTTTACTCTAAAAAATTCAAATAAATTAATGCAGAATTTTTCTATTCATCTTTGAAAATTTATAAAGAATATTTGCATTTAAATTATTCGAGTGGGTTTTTTTTTTCAAATTCAGTGTTATTACTTCTACGATTTTCTTCAACAATTTCTGTTGCTCAGATAGTCGTGACTTCATCTCCTTTAATTCTTTAAAAAATAATGTTGAATGAATTTAATGCCATTTTTTCAATTGAAATTTTCAAAAGTGAGAGGATGAAGGTTAAACTTTCTCAGATCTCTCAATTTAATGCCCTCAAGCCCTCCCCAAACACCAAAAAAATCAAATTCAACCCCTGGAACCCCCTAGACCTCTCACATAGGAAAAAAAAACAGTCCAAAAAGTCTAATTTATTTCCAATTCTAAATAAATGTAAAATATTTTTTGGGGGGAAAACTTCATCATATTTTCCATATAATTCCCCTTTTAAAAAATATATTGAACACTTGCATAATAAATTAAGAGTAAAATAATCCATTAAGACTACAAAAATTATCAAAACCTTTTTTTGAGGAAAAATTCGGAAAATCATCTTTGTCATTTTTTCTATATAATTACCCTTCCCAAAAAACTGTTGAACACTTGAATAATTCATTAAGAAGAAACTAGTCAATTTAGACTATAAAAACTATCATTCAAATTGTTTAAAACTTGAATTTCTAATTAAAACCAACAACGTTTTTTGAGGTTAAACCCTCCAAAATTGGCAATATCAATTTTAGATTATTTTTTTCCACAAGATTACCCTTTTTTTATAAATTTATTGAGTACATGAATAATTGATTGACCGTAAAATAATCGATTTAGACTATAAAAATCACTGAAATGTTGCTAAAACTCACATGAAAAGTTCAGCTGGTATTTTCCGGGGGATTCGAGTGCCGCTGGACCATTGTTGATTCTTCTCGTTCATTCGTGTTTATTTACACCACTATCACATGATTAATGACTCAATTATGGAGCACGTGTCATTGTCGATTGTCAATTGATGAATTTTCGAATTTATTTCGTGGTTTTTAGGGGTTTTTGCACGAGAAAAACAGAGCGGGGCACGATGTCAAACCAAACAATCGAATTATTCAGGGGTTTGAGAGGTCGAAACACCTCGAGTCGATATTTTGTCGAGAGGGGAGACGAGAGTCGGCGGAAGGAGCCGAAGGGGAACGATCGACTATCCCCACTATTGGGATTTTGCATTTGAATGAATTGCCCCCACTTTCGCGCGATTCGATGCATAATTATCGAAATATATCGAAGCATCATTATCGCGATTTAGTTTCGACCGATTTATTTCAGTGGTGGGGATGATCCTGAGGATTTTTTTGGGATTGAGAATCGAAAATTGAATTTTTTGGTCAAGAGATTTTCTTTGGAGAAAATTTCTGATTATTTGAGCGACTGTTGGTGATTCTTAGGAACCAAAATGATTTTTTAAAATTAATTTTGAGATGTAATCGATTTATTCAAGGGATGAAAATCATGAGAAAACTTTTTTTGAGAATTTTTTTGCTTCAATGCGCCCCATTCTTTGGTGGAGAGATTTTATATGCGATTATCGAAATATATCGAAGGATCATTATCGCGATTTAGTTTCGATCGACTTATTTCAGTGGTGGGGATGATCCTGAGGATTTTTTTGGGATTGAGAATCGAAAATTGAATTTTTTTTTTAAGAATTCGGTGATTTTTAGGGATCGAAATGATTTTTTTCAACTGCGTTTTGAGAGATAATCGATTTATTCAAGGGGTGAAGAAGATCATGGGAAGATTTTTTCTATTTGAGAATTTTATTTTTCAATGGGCCCCATTTTTTGGTGGAATTAGAGATTTTATATGCGATTAACGAAATATATCAAAGGATTATTATCGCGATTTAGTTTTGATCGATTTATTTAAGTGGTGGGGACGATCCTGAAGAATTTTTTGGGGTTGAGAATCGAAAATGGAATTTTTTGATTAAAAAGAGATTTTTTTGTAGAAAATTTTTGATTATTTAAAGATTTAGTGATTTTTAGTTACCGAAATGATTGTTTTCAAACGCATTTTGAGAGATAATCGATTTATTCAAGTGGCGAAGAAGATCGTAAGGGGATTTTTTCGCTTGAGAATGACAAAAAAACAATAATTTTTCGATCAGGACATTTTCTTTGTGGAAATTTTTTTTTCTTAATTAGGAACTTGGCGATTTTTAGGGATTAAAATCTATTTTTTGTCAATTCCGAAAGATAATAGATTCATTGAAGAGGTGGAGAAGTCTATTTGGAAATTGTGAGGGATGGAATTACTAGTCGAACCTTTTTATTCCAGTGGAAGAAGAAAATGGAGAAGCAAAAAGCTGCTATCAAGTTCAAAGCAGCTGCGAGGATTGCCAGAGTCACTCACGACCTCACTATGACAGTACGAAACGCAAATTCTCTCGGGGAAACTGCTGATGAAAGTGAAGAAGACGAGGAAGATTGAGGCTGACGTTTCCAACAACGAAATGTTGATCCAAGAGTATTTTCAAAATTTTTCTTTCTGTCATGTTGATAATTCGATAATTAAAAAACTAGAAATCCATTGAAAATTAAACAATAAAATAATCATAAATTAATGAAATGAGTAATAATAAATATTAATAACAATGCGTTTAATACAGCAGGATAATAAAAATGTGCTTTTGGAATTTATGGAATTTATATTACATTTATTTGTGTCTTCTCTGTATTTTCTGGTTTTCCTCTCTCGATTCTTCCATTTCAATGGGCACAATACGAGTGCAGAACTGAACTTTTTATATTTTTTTCGAGATAATAATCGCAAAATAATGATCGATTGGGCTTTGAAGAGGTGGAAAGCCGAAGAAAAGGTAAATTCGGTTTTTCACTTCTTGTTAATTCTCTAATTATCTCTGTACTGATTAGTTTTAGACGAAAATGCCAAATAGCGTTCTTGTAGGAAATTTCATTCCCTACAAAAAAGTTTCGGATACATTTTTATCTAAATCCACCCCTTACTGAGATAATCGCAAAATTAGCAGACGTGTTTTATCAAAACTATGGAAAAATTAATTTTCCACTTCTTCATAAACCTTCAATTATCTCTGCACTGAGGGGTTTTATGGAAAAAATGTTGAATATCATTTTTGTAGGAAATTGAATTCTCTACGAAAACGATTTAGACACATTTTCTCCTAAACCCAGCCCTTACCGAGACAATCGCACCTTTCCATCCCCATTCTCCTGTAAAATCAACGAAAACTCGTACTTCAACGTGAAAAAATTAATTTCATCATCAAATCCCCCGAATTAATTACTCAGTCCTTCCTCAAGGGCCTCACAAATCCCATCGATGTCTTTTATCCTCACATTTTCATTTTTTTTCACTTTCATTGAGTGGAATCCGCTCCCCCCATTTACCTAATTCATCAATCGAGTCAGTGAATTCGTCGCGAAATTTGAAAAAGAAAATTACGCCACAGAATGACCCCCTTCATTACTTTATCTATCTCTATTTTTTGTCGCTTTTTTGTTGAATTTTTTCTTTAGTTTTTTGTTCGAATGAATATTTTCTCTTAGGACTCTTGTGATGTCTATTGCGTGCTGCTGCCCTTCGTCGCTTCTCGCTGCTGTATCTCAGCCGCTGCTTGATCCTTCATGTGTTTTTCAACCTGGTAAAATAATTGACTCTTTGTTAATTATGAAATTTTTATACTTAATGAAATTTTCGATTTTGAGGGATATTTGTGATTTAAGGGCAATTTTATGAAGGAAATTTCTTTGTTTCTGATGAAATAACGATTGTTTTTGTATTTTGAAGTGTTTGCATTGTTTAAAAAAATAAAGAGATAAAAAAAGACAAAATGTGAATGAAAAACTGAACATTATAATATTATTTCAACTGTTCAACACCAAATCAATTCATAAAGTAATAAAGATCAAGTTTAAAATTAATGAGAACGCATACAAAAAATATTGAACAGAATTAAATTGTTTTCTCTTTCATCCGAAATTATAAGGATATTTTTTAAAATAATAAAAAACTACTTAAACTTTTCTGACACGCAAATATGGTGATTTCCAGGGAAATCTGAAGGACGAAGGGTGTTTTATGAAGGCAATTCCTTCATGGTTTTGATGAAATAAAGATTGTTTTTGTATTTTGAATTTCTAACAGTTTTTGCAATATTTAATGAAATAAAAAGATTGAATATGACAAAATGTGAATGAAAAAGCCAAAATTTTGAAATTTTCTCGACTGTTCAACACCAAACCATAAAACTGAATGCATTCTCTGCACAATATTATTAATCAATATCCATTGAGAATATTTGCAATGTATCAATAGTAAGTAATAATAAGTAGTGAAGAACGAGTTTAAAATAAATGTAATAAGAATGAATAAAAAAATATTCAACAGAATTAACTTGTTTTCTCTTTTTTTAAATGCAAAACTACTTACAACTTTCCTGACATGTAAATATGATTTGGACTCAGCATTTCCATGGACATTATCAACTTTGTAAGGTGGTACAATGGTAACATCATCCCAAACAACGATATTCTGCCCCGACCACGTTATGTCCTGTAGGGTTTTAGCAATGGCAATAAATAATTTTTGACCCTCAGGCGATACTCCGGCCTGCAGAGCCTTCACCATACGTTTTTTCTCCTCAATCTGATTGCGCACACGTGTGTTTAGCCTCTGTAGATTGAGACTCTGTGGTGGTTCATTCAGTGTTGGTGATACTTCACGTTTAACTTGTACATCTGATACAAGTGATAAATTAACTATATGTACATCATTCAATGATGGCCGATTTGATGATGATGGGCATTCTGTTGATCAACATTTTAATTAAGGAAAATAGCAGTTGTAAATAATAAATTTTTTTTATGTTCACAAAATTTGGATTATCACGAGAACTACAATTCCGGCAACCAAAAATCAAAACTTATAACAAAGCCACGAAAATTTCCGATGTTACCCACCCCTTATGAGCCCCTTTTGCCCCACAATTCCCCTCAAAATCACTTTTCACCCCCAAAATCGCTTTCACCAAATATCTCGAGAACGAATGCTTCATGAGACATTACCAGCCTCTTTTTGGATCGGAAACCCTCCCGATGAATCCCCTGACACTACCCAGCGCTACCCCTGACCTCCAGAAGCCCGAAAAAACGTTAAAAACAATGACTCATCAACAATAATCAATGAAAATTTCAAGAAATCTGTTCAATTCAATTGAATTCCACAAAATGGCCATAAAATTTGAATTATCTTGAGAACTACAGGAGCCACAACCAAAAATCAAAACTCATACGAAAACTACGACAATTTCCGATGTCACCCATCCCTTATGAACCCCTTTTGCCCCACAATACCCCTCAAAACCCGTCAAAATCACTTTTCACCCCCAAAATCGCTTTCACCAAATATCTCGAGAACGAATGCTTCATGAGACATTACCAGCCTCTTTTTGGATCGGAAACCCTCCCGATGAATCCCCTGACACTACCCAGCGCTACCCCTGACCTCCAGAAGCCCGAAAAAACGTTAAAAACAATGACTCATCAACAATAATCAATGAAAATTTCAAGAAATCCGTTCAATTCAATTGAATTCCACAAAATGGCCATAAAATTTCAATTATCTTGAGAACTACAGGAGCCACAACCAAAAATCAAAACTCATACGAAAACTACGACAATTTCCGATGTCACCCACCCCTTATGAACCCCTTTTGCCCCACAATACCCCTCAAAACCCGTCAAAATCACTTTTCACCCCCAAAATCGTTTTCACCAAATGTCTCGCGAACGAATGCTTCAAGAGACATTACCAGCCTCTTTTTGGATCGGAAACCCTCCCGATGAATCCCCTGACACTACCCAGCGCTACCTCTGATCTCCAGAAGCCCGAAAAAACGTTAAAAACAATAACTCATCGACAATAATCAATGAAAATTTCAAGAAATCCGATCAATTCAATTGAATTCCACAAAATGGCCATAAAATTTCAATTATCTTGAGAACTACAGGAGCCACAACCAAAAATCAAAACTCATACGAAAACTACGACAATTTCCGATGTCACCCACCCCTTATGAACCCCTTTTGCCCCACAATACCCCTCAAAACCCGTCAAAATCACTTTTCACCCCCAAAATCGTTTTCACCAAATGTCTCGCGAACGAATGCTTCAAGAGACATTACCAGCCTCTTTTTGGATCGGAAACCCCCCCGATGGACCCCCTGACACGACCCACCGCCAGCCCCTACCACCAGAACCGCGAAAAAAATGTCAAAAACCATTTGTGATGAAATAATTTTGAAGTGTTGCTGATCAGTTCACCCAGTCCGCAGCACTGTCTCCCCCACCGAAACTAACCTTGCAGCCACAATAACAATCAGCCCCTGAGGGTCTCCGAGGGCTTCCCCAGGTGCTAAACCCACCCCGGGGACCGTCACACCCCCTCGAGACCGTGAACTCCTCCACTCGAGCGAGAGAAATTGAAAAAATTCCAAACTATTCACGTGATTCCATGAATTATGCTCCTGAGCAGGAGCCAGGGGGCAATATGGGCCTCGATGAGTCCCTGGTGACGATGCGGTCGATGTTTGTGATGAAAAAGGATACTCAATATCAGCATTTTGGTTTGAGGATCGAATGCCAACACTTCTCCCTCAATTTCTTTGTGATAACACGTTTTACATGCCACCGTACTCCCAATGCTGAACCAGTCGCTGACGCCGGCCATTTTTCACTAAGCTACAATTGCACGAACACTGCACACACAGTACACACATAAAGGTAGGCGGATAGTTGGTGGGGGGCTCGACAGGGTGCGCACTCGGCGGGAAAATTTTGATTCTCAGAGGCTTTGGGAGGGGACACAAAAATAATGAAATCAGTGATCGGCACATCAATCAATCAAAATTACCGTTAGATTATGAAGTTGTCAATTTTTAAAATAAACCTTAAAATTTTAAATGTTAAATTAACCATCAGTTTATACATTTACCTCCCCAAATGGGGAGGTTGGGGTAAAATGAACACTTTCGACTTTTTTAAAAATATTAGTGACGAGTTGAAATGTTGATGAAATTTAATCTTTTTTTTTGTCAATACAAAGAACAATTCTTTTCCTTTGTGATGAGCCTAAACTGAGCTCTATTGATACATTTGTTTCTGAGTTATGAATAATTTTTAAAAAGTCTTGAAGGTCCATTTTAACCTACCCTCCCCTAAATTTCGAAATATTCTATCAACCAATAATTTAGGTAGGAAGATTGACGATTATTTGGTTAATCGAAAATCAAGTACCTAAATTTAGAATTAGCTTGTTAACTAAAAATATAGATAGATAGATAGATAGATAGATAGTTTATTTGCATATATGCAAATTACAAAAATTCAAGATGCAAAGGGTTCTGGGTGTAACAATAAATGGATACGTTTTACAACAGCCAGAAATTTTAAAAAATCATAATTCATTGCACAGAATGTGAGCGAGATTCAAAAATACAAATAATGAATATATAGATATTTTTTAAACAGTTAATGTTATTAGAATTCAAAGTAGAAATAAAATTTTCGAAGGGGGTAAGATTGGGCTGGAACCAGGGGCGAATATAATGCAGACGGGGGGAGTTATAGGCTGGACAATTTGTAAACAAATGGTAAAAAGTTTCGAGTTCACCCAGTGTGCATCTGATACAAATTTTGCTAGAATCAACGCGGTACACCTTTTTCTTGAGGATGATGCGATTGGAGAGCCTAAAAGTAGTACATTCCATGCCCGAGGCCTTGGAAAACAGATCACCGTCCCCCACGTGTTTGTCATCCTCGCCTTCGGCTCGGAAGGCAATCTTGCACGTGGGGGAGGGTGATGTTTTCCATGGCGAGCAGCGTTGAGTATCTGTCGATGACCGCAGTTTTTTACATGACATTGTAAAAAACGCGTAATTTACGTAATAAATGTAAAAAATGTAAAAAACAGCCGACGTTACCTTTCATCGTAAACCGTGAAGTTACGCGAAGATTATACCTCGCAAGGGTGATAAAGCACGCGGGTCACACCTCGTAAGGGTCATGCCGTGTAAGGAATGAATTTTACAAGGGTCAATCTCATTATTTATTGATCTCTATTGAATTCGTTGCGTCATCATCTTGTGTCTTGACATTAACTTGTTTCATTCAGCATTCTTAAATGACAAAACTAATTCAATTGTCTTTGGTAGCTTTTTTGAACTCTTCAGACAAAATGGTTCTTTTCAGGGTCCAACTGGGCTTTTCCCAGGCTCCAGATAATAAAGCGGAAAATCCAATAAAGCTCAATAGGGTAATGAGAGTGACTTTCTCACAATGGAGATGACTTGTGACATTGGTCTTTTGCAACGTTTGACCCTCGTGAAATTTACTCTTTATGAGGTATGAGGCTCATGTTTTTGAGCTTCTTAAAATGCCGCGAATCGAGGATTTTAATCACTCGAGTTAGGAAATAGTTTTATTGCCGTGTGGCACACAATATTTTGTCTGGGCCCGAAAAACGCGACTTAACCGAGGAAATCGATGTTAGAATCGCAGTTTTACGATCCTGGGGACATAAAATGATATTTTATGCCTCAAGTACCGGGAACCGCATTCTAACCGAACAAAGTGAAATTAAAATTCACGGTTTATCTGGCTTCGGGCCATAATATACTATTTTTTGTGTGTCCAATACTGCGTCTTCGTCACTCGGAATAAAATAAAACATTCTAGTAATCGAAAATTGCAAGCTTTTCGAAGGAACGTCAAAAATGTAAAAAATCCGTCAAGATAATTTACGTAAATTACGTCGGGAAAAAACGGTGCAAGTTACCAACGTAATTTGCACGCCCAACCCTGATGGCGAGGTGTGTATAGGGGAGGTTGGGGGAAAATGGACACTTTTGACTTTTTTTTAAATGTTAATGACGGGTTGAAATGTTCATAAAATTTAAAATTTAATAATTTTTTAAGAAAGCTGAACGAAACAAGTTAATGGCAAGACAAAAGATGATGATGCGACGAATTCAATAGAGCTCAATAAATAATGAGATTGGCCCTTGTAAAATTCATCCCTTACGCGTTATGACGCTTACGAGGTGTGACCCTCGAGACGTGTGATCCTGGCGAGGTATGAAACTCGTGACTTTTATCACCATCGCGAGGTATAATCTTCGCGAAGCTTTACGGTTTCCCATAAAAGGCAACAGCGGCTGTTTTTTTTCCATTTCTTACATTTATTACGTAAATGATGGGTTTTTCTACAATATCATATAAATAACTGCGGTTAACGACAGATGCCCAACCCTAGGGGCCAGTGAGCATGTCGTTGACTGATGTTTCTCGACTTTCTTCGTATATGAATTTGTCAGAACAATTCAGTAGCGAAGCGGTAAACCGGTTTAAGTCGATTTAGACGATTGGTCAGTTTTTAATGAATATCTCGGAACCTCAAGAACATAGAAATTTTGTTGTAATAACCTTTTTTGTAGCTCTCAATTTGCTCTACAAAAAAGGTTATAATGAAAATTTCGCTATTTCTCTTGAATTCGGAGATATTCCTCGAATACTCAGCGTAGAGCTAAATTGACTTAACCCGGTTTACCGCTTCGCTCCTGAATTTAACAGAGAATAGAAACATAAATGTCATTATATTTTCAACTTATCAATTATTTATATACTTTTGACTGAACCACTCCGGCGCGTGCCAAACGAAAACATCAGTATTCCGTCGATTGGAAATGCCATGAAAACCCAACCCAAACGGCGGAACACCCATATATTTGTAGAAATAAGAACATTCGGATGAAATGAATGCAAAAATATGAAACAATGAATCTTTTAGGATCAATATTAGTTTGGACTTACGACATTTGATGATTATTAATCTAAAAATATTCAAGTGTTCCGTTAATTGGGGGGGTTTCGCAATTGGACTGTTCACCCTGTGTGATGTGTTCATTCATTATTATCGCGAGGTGCTGTCATTCAGAGCTCCGCAATGAATACANTTCTCCAAACTTCGTATTTTTACGTTTCCGACCATTCTACATAATTTCCAATCAAAATTAGAGTATGTGAAGGTTGGACGATTATATTGTTTCCATTTGGACGCAAAAAGGATGAAAAAATCTGCGGGATAGTTAGAAAAATTTGTTCATTCTCTAGGAACTGAATGGAACAACTCGAAGGTGATTTGAAGAAGTTAAATAATTTAAGGAAATGTTCAAAAATACGAGGTGGTTTACAGAGGTGGCCGCCGCCATCTTGTTTGTATAACGCCTCCCTCTTACTAAGGAGCTTTAAAGATGGCGGTGCCTCCACCTCGTATGTTCAAACATCTCTGAAAATTATTTATCATCTTCGCATCACGCTCAACTCTCTCCATACGATTTATACAAACGGAACAAATTTGTTGAGCCATCTTCCAGATTGTTCCGCCCTCTTTTGGTTGAGAATTCATGCCGCAATGTTTCTCCCCCTCCCCCCCCCCCCCCCCC